TATTATTATACAGGATTTACATAGCACCAACAGTTTGCGCAGCGCTTTACAATATAGGGAAGACATTACAATAAAAATACAATTCAAGACAAGATGGTAAGGAGGGCCCTGCCCATAAGGGCTTACAGTCTAGAAGGAAGGGGCAAGTGATACGTGAGGCGGTTGGGATTGTAGAGAGGACACTACTCTGTTCCTTTAAAGTGTTATTAAACCCATTAAAAAACAAACTCTTATTACACAGCCACTGTTACTTAAATGACTGTATGTCTACTCTTTCTGCTGCCAGTGTCACCTGTATGTCTCATGATCCCCCACCGTGGTCTGCAGATCAGCACACACACACGTGACAAAGTGACTTTCCTGCACAAGAGGATGTGTTACCAGCCCGCCTTTCCTGCCACATGACTGTGATTGACATGGGGGCGGAGGGATCAGCAGAAACTCTGTGACTTTCATTGCGCATTAGCAGTGCATATGTGAGGGATCATGGGACTTGTAGGCACATCCATAGATGTGAATGACAGACAATGTGTGGAAGACAGGTGAGAGCGATGCACCCCGAAGAGTAATATAGCTACATAGTATTTGAGGTTAAATAAAGACACGGGTCCATCCAGTTCAACCTTTTGTGTGTGTGTTTGTGTGCGCGTGTGTGTGTATATATCAGTCCCTGTGTGGTCTAGTCTTTAAGAGTACCTGTACCTCTGAGGGAGGTATCTAAATGAATTTTGAATGAATCAGTTCTCTCTGCGGATACCACAGCTTGCAGAGAGTTTACAAAATGTAACTGCTCTAACTGAAAAGAAACCAATACGCCCTTTGTGGTTAAATATTTTCTTCACTAATTTTAGGTGGTGGCCTCTAGTCTTCTTCTTTTTTTTTTTTTTTAGGGAGTGACTTGTGTAAATCTAATAAAGGTAAATTATGGGTTTAAAAAAAAAAAGAGTGCTTGAAAATTAATTAATTTATTGAGGAAATGTAATGCATTTAAAGAGAGCGCTTGCATTTTGATGCAAGATTTGAATACTACTTTTACTCTTGAAGTTGTAAAGTCCCAGCATATACTATCCTGTTATAACATCGGCATTGTAATAGGAACACATACGAGAGTTGGCTTTGATAATGTAATCAAAGCTTGCTTGAAAAAAAATCTTTTGTAGGGAGCGCTGCCTTCTGTCTGCCCATCACTTTCACCAACTTCCTGGATTCCCAGTGTGCTTTGCATCTCTTTCCCTGCTGCTTGATGTGATGCAATCCCCATTTCTCAAGATTACATTTCCCTTCTAGAGATGTAGAATTTCCAGAAATTTTAAAGCCATGAGAAAAAAAAAATCTTTTTTTTTTTTTCCGCGAAAAAATTTAAATTTTCAGAAAAAATATTTATTTTTTTCCAAACTCTCTAGATGTTGGTCTCACTAATTCACTGAGAGGAGGAATAAAAACAATTTACTGAGCAGACTCTAGGTAAACTTAATGTGATGGGGGAGAACATTATTAGGAATCTTTTAAAGGTTATACAGATAAAACTGATTTGTTAGACAAATGTACCCTCTAACCTGTCAATTAAGGCCTGAGAGGACAGAAACGATCATCTACTATCATACCAACAATCACCCAACTGTCGGAAGGACAAGATAGAGCCCACGAGCTAACTAAACTGGAACCGTTCCTCGGCAGTGCCCCTAGTGGCAGAAATGCATATTTCTTTTTGAGTTTGAGAACTGCATCGAGAAGTACAGTGTTAGTTGAATTGTATTCCCGGATTTGCTTGTCTTCAGCTGAGAGAATGTGCAATCATTTAAGACTTTACATAAAGTCTCGGAAATCTTTCATCAAAGTCTTCATGTCATGTAGTATGAATACAATGTCATAGATATACTAATTTATCATTGTAAAAGAACATATTCCACACTTTTTTTTTCATTATTTAAATTTTTCCGGAAAAAAACAAACGACTTTTGAAAAAACAGAAAAAAACTTGATTTTCCCCCCCAATGTTTCCATTTTTTTTTGCAGTCCTTCCCATCTCTAATCCCATCATGCATTTCTTTCTGTAAGCAGTGATAATGTTACTCTGCTCTGGTTAGGGATGCACCGATATATCAGCCGCTGAAACATATCGGCCTAAAATTGCACTTTTGGCTAAAGTGCCATTTTTGTGCTGATACATCGACACATCCCTGCTTTCTTTCCTCCCCGCTTGGCGCTGCTCTGTGTCCCAGCGGAAAGGAGGGAAACTGTGACAGCTGGCCGAGCGCTGCGGGAGGAGAGCGCTGTGAGCGGCCAGCGTCTCTCCTCCCACACCGCTCGGCCTCCTATCACATTTCGGCAGAGCGGTGTGGGTGGAGACAGCAGGTGCTGTCGGGGGAGGCTGAGCTCGATCAGCCTCCTGTGACAGCGTGTCAGAGAGAAAAGCAAGGTACACACACTCAGCGATCAGTGATCGCGGGGTGTTTGTAGATAATTGAGGACATGGCATGTTGACTATATCCTCAATTATGAATGAATGGGAAGTGATCTACATCTCCTCCTGTTTATTCATGATTGTGGATATAGTAAACATACTCTGTTCTCAAGTTATGAATGAACAGGAACACTCATAGAGGATTCCTGTTCATTGATATCAGGGGCTGCAGAAAAAGAGATTGAGGACTTTGTGTCTCTTTTTCTATTTTAAAAGGGAAATATCAGGGATCTGTTTAGACCCCTAATATTTCCCCGAAGCCCATAAAAGTAAAGTAAAATATATTTAATAAAAAATGAATTAATAAATAAAAAAATAAAAGTTTAAAAAATAAATACAAATAAAATAATAAAAATTTTAAAAACATTTTCGGTTTCGGCCTGACAATTTCTTTTATTTTGGTTTCATTTCGGTTTTGAAATGTCCATTTCGGTGCACATCTAGTTCTGATGGCATGCTCTTTGAGAGTGCTGACACCAGGAAATGTGTATTCACAGGGCTGAGTGAAATTGTGTCAGTGCATTGAGGAAGTAGATCCCATGGGCATCTTCAGTAAGTAAGTTTACAAACTTCCAGATCAATACGGTTATTAGGAGGGGGATAGAACATATGGAAATTCAATATAGAAATACATATTTATTTTTCGTTTTTGACCATAGATACACTTTGTGATGCCATGCATATGGCTGTGCTTTGTAAATCTCGGGACCGGATTGGCTGACATACAAATACTATGGACGGCAGAACTGTTCCTTTTTATATGTATTTCATATGTGTATTTAAATGTGTGCCTAGTTTTCAGCTTTAATTGCTGAATCAGGCTACAGTCATCCAATGTTTGTAGGTGCCATGAGTTCAGAGAACAAAATGGCTGCCTGTACTGTATACACAACAGGTGCAATATCTCAGTCTCTCCACACAGCCCTGCAATTCTTTGACAGGTACTTCAGGGTAAACACAATAAAAGGTCAAAAGGCAAAATAAACTCACCCTTGGCAAACCTGCCGGTTTACTTATCATTTGGCCACTTCTATTTCTGAGCCCCAGTTTATAATGCGAACCTGTGACTGGAGATGCTGTTCCCTCATCAATTAAGCTGCTGAAAGAAGGAAAAAAAAAAAAGTATTGTTCATTTTCAATAACAGACTTTGCTGCCCTGATTAAATGTGTACCCAGCACGCAGCAAATATTGACATACACTGCAGGAAGCAGATACTAAAGAGCCATTGTTATTTGTACACCACACCAAGCCTGCCTGCCTGGAAGCCACTAATGTGTCCATAGCAGGAAGATATGATATTTACCGGAGAGGAGATTCCAGGAAATAAATATGAATTGATTGTGATTACAGAGGTGGCTTGTGTCATAGGAGGTACATGGAGACAACCTGTGACTCCTTCGCTCCTTCCGCCCTGGAAGTAGGTTGGCTGCAGTCTTGCTTCTTAGCTGTGGAGTAATGTATCTGCCTCATGCCCTCTGCTGGGATTAGCCTTTGTCCATGGAGGTGCTGTATTTAAACATAATCAGCATGCACCTCATAAAGTGCACTCCTGTGTTTTTTGTTTCTGGACTGACCTTCAGCTACATGTTGAATTCTTGCTTGTCTACTACCTGCCCTGACCTTTTGCCGTGTTTAGTAGACACTCCTTTGTCTCCTGCTGGCCCTCGACGTTTTGCTACATTTCCTGTATTCCTCTTTTTCTACTTCAGCTATCACCTTCCACTGCCCTACCCTATATTTACTCTGAGGTTCTGTAGTGACATCCACGGCCAATGTATATAGTTCAAGTCCCAGGGCATCCAAGTACCGGTAGGCGCACTATCCTTAAAGCCCAAAGCATAGCATTGTGGGAAATGTAGTTTTCCAAGGCCTACATAGTAGTTCCTACTATACACAGCAGCCTGTAATTTACACAGACTGTCTGCATAAATGCAGAAACACGTTGATTGTTCTGTATTGTCATTTATGAGCCCATTCCATTATTAAACATTTTTGGACTCTTGTACAGTCTTGTTTGGTGCTCTCATTGGGCTGTAGTATATATGTGTATATCTTCAATTCTGTATGTGGAACGTCCTATTTTTGTTGAGCGTTATCTCAACGTAGCCATTGTGATTGATCATGTTTTGACCGATCTGAATATTTGAATCCAGGGCCTCGCCTGTAATTGTTCTGTGATAAAGAAGCTGACTATCTGACCTCTACATCTGAAAACCCTGGTTTATTAACTGTTTATGTTGGCTCTTTGGGCTCAGTACTTTCTGATTCACTGACCTGGAACAAGTACAGAAAGTAATTATTTTATTTGCTGCATGGTTGTTCCCTGTTTGTGACTGAAGTGTTAAACCCAGACACAACCAGGCAACTTGCATATTTAAAAGGAATCCAGCAATGGCAGTCTCCGTATCTCTTTCTTGACATGTATACTTCGATGATGACTTGCTGCATGGACATGAACTTGGACACATGTTTCTCATCTTGGAATTTTTTTTGTGTTCTTCATTGTACCATCTAATACCTGTTTTTTCTTTACAGGCTGCAAACAGCTATCTGAGAGATCAGTGGTTTCACTCCTTGCAGTGGAAGGTAAGTAATAATTCTCTGCTTATATAAGCATAAAATGGTTGTAAAGGCCAACATAAAAACTTCATTGTGAATTGATGTATTCAGTACTGCCAATGGTGGGTCATGGACACTCAAGGTCCAGTAAAGCGTGCTGCATTTTAATTAAGTGCCTAGGTAATTCACAGGTTAATAATTACATTTAATTAAAATGTTGTAGAGTGACCCTCAGAGGAGTCAGTAACTACATGTAAGGCCGTTAAAGTGTACCTTGGTTACTTCAGAACTACCTTTGCTTAAATCTAAATAGCTTAAATATACGTAACGTATTAGTTGCTGGAGGGGTCTGACACCAAGCTAATACTGAAGGGTCTGAATTAACCCTCTGCACATTCCTATATGCCCTTATGTGTTTCCATGAAACTTTTGCATAAAAACAGGGACTCTTGTTTTTTTAATACTGCAATACATGTTCAAGCTGGTCATTTGTATAAAAGTGATTCCTCTCTGGCCAGTCTCTGCTTTGCAAAATACATGTGGTAAATGTAACCCAAGAAAATGCCACCTGGACGTAAAAGGAGAGGCCTACAGGTACTTTTGCAAGCTTTAGCTTTCTTTTAACGTGTCCTTGGAGATCTTAAACATTATGCAAATACCTACCAATTCTTGGAAGGTCAATTAATTGAACAATAGTATGGTGAAGGAATCAGCAGGCCAGAGCCAAATCTTCTTACATCTGGTTGGTATAAAGCACTCTTGGTTTTAGGGCTTCTGGGGCACTCTCCGAAGCTATGTAGGGTGGCAGTTTACTGGATTTGCAGTAACCACAGATTTAGCTTGAAAGGAAGTGGTGACAACAGTGATGTCTGCTGAACTCAAATTGAGTGTAGAGAATGGGGAAATCGTGTTGCACATAGTGCCGCCTTCATTTTTACTAAATTTGCAAGTCAGCGGAGAGAATGGTTGCCCATCCAAAACACAAGCAGAGCCACCATACATCTACTTAAAGAAACCATTTCACTGCAGCTTAATTTGTAATGATTTTAAAGTAATCTTAATTGTTTAATCGCCCTGGGGCCAAATGCATGTAGCACTTGGTCCCATTCTGATCCATGCAGTAGTTGTGCAATAAAGGAATATCATTATTTCTTTTTCTAACACTTCCCTGCTCTGTTCAAAACTAAAACATACGGTTTGGCTGGAGTTCTTCTTTTATTTTTATAATCTCCTTTGAATTTGATAAGTGATAGGTTTTCTTTTTTGAATTGTATATAGGTATGTGTATATTTATATAAGCTCAAAATGAATTGTGTACAACACAATTATGGCATAAAAATACATTTGTGTGCTTTATTTTCTTTAAAAATAAATTTAAGCTATTGGGAAAAGAACAAAGAATTGAATAAAAAAACAAAAATAAAAACCTGTCCAACCTGAACTGTATCTACTAAACATGCACATTAATTAGCATTTGGTGCTTAAATGATTTGGATGCACAGTTTTTTACTTTCAGCAAAAATCTGAATAAATTGGTTGCGTAAACTCACACAGAGTTGCAGTGATGCAGCCTTAGAATCTATCAACATTTTCTTGCGGTGCCAAAACTTACATCACTTCCTGGCTTGCTCACATGGATGTTAAATATAATAACAAGGTTTTTGAGATGAGAAGGTTGAAGCATGTGTGTGGTAGAGAGGGTGGCTCACTGTTTCCTTGTGCCCATTTAGACATCAGAAAGGGTTTTGTTTTTCCGTATCCTAAATAAAAGTTGCATAACCGGTTCTGAAGATCTCAGCCAGCCCTATGTGGTGAGATTGGGCTACCCATAGACAGGAAGATCCTTTACTATGGAAGGGAAGGTCTGGCTTTTCTTTTATTATGAAGTCACTAAGGTGGCCTCAATTCTTTTCTCATCTTGGGATTTTTTTCTATTTATGGTGCATGTTGGAGTTCCATGGGAAAAAGGGACTAGTTCTAAGACTGGGCAGACCATTATGTGCGGGGCAAGCAGTTCTATCAGGAGCACCTCATCCTGGCTTTCTCTTTCACTGCTGACCACCCTGGCCACACTGTGATGGCACCTAAACTGAACCTTGTCTGGTGTGAAAGGATTTATGACTAGTTGGTAAAGGCAGGTATGGAAAGCAAGGCATCTAGGAAGAGCTAGTAAGTACTATTCAGGTCCTAAGAGAACTTTGTCAGATAAGTAGAGGGGCTGAGTGGCCGTGTATTGGGTGGAATACTCTGAGCCTATATGTTTGGTAACATTAATTTGTGTGACTGAAGGCTCTGACCTTTTTTCCCTGTTCCTGCTCCTTGGCAGCTACCACAAGAATGCCCCAGCCTAGCAATTTAGGGCAGAAAGTAAAGAGTTTAAAAGGGCCTGCTCTGCTTCTCAATGGCTTCTTTTCTCACAAGGCAGGTTATAGGTGTGTGGCCCACTATATAGAAAAAAAACTGATATCCTTAGATTGCAGAAGCAATGCAGTTATGGTCTTGTCAGGAACTGCATGGGCTGTGGAACCCATTCTCCCTTGCTTCTGCAGCTGCCTAGTGGAATAAAGATGAGATCTTTACCCAGGTTTTTGTTTAGTAAACCTCATGGTAAGGACTGTAGAGGAACCGAATCAGTAAGAAATAGATGTATCACTTCCTTTCCTGGAATCCTCCATAACAGGGAATAGTCTTATATATATATATATATA